AAGGAGAAGGTGGGGCAATCAGATCGACCATCAATATCACACAACTACTCTATTTAATGGTGTTTCGTCTACAAAATGGCCATAGTAATTTACGAGTTTCAATCCACTTTTGAAATAATATAACGTGATCAGGTAAACCATACGAACGGTTTAAAAGCAAACACATAACATTCTCAAAGCATGTGAAAACTTTAGGCGGGGTGATGTTTCGGGCTTTTACCCAGAGTGCTTCTTCGATTGAATGTGGATGGCATATACCTTATTGGAAATTTACCACAACGGTATGAGCATTTTTTAATGAGCAAATGGAACGGGGGCCCAACTATTTGCCCCATTGAAACGCATTGAAAATCATAGTAAATAAATGGGGTGCTATTCAATTAATAATTTTGATAGCCACTTTGGGACTTCTGGTTCATGTTAGGCATTTGTTTTGGAGTTTCTAAGTACAATCTCAGTGCCTCATGACCGGCAATCCATTGCAAAATTTTGTTTTGATTGACAACAGGGTCAGTCCGTCTACTTTCGGGAAAGAATAAAGGCTAGAATTTAGGCAATTTACTCTATGTACTGACGCCAGATTACAGTTAAATCAATAATTTTTTTTACAGAAATTCAAACCAGAAAGCCTACCCCTTCAAATAAATCTACATTCAGTTACAGAACTTGTGTAATAATAACACTACACCATTTTAAATAAAAGTAATAATTTTTTTTAAGAACTACATTCGTGGGTACCGGACTGGTTGTCGTAACTGGGATCCTATTCCAAATAAAATGTGGTTGACAAATATAAAACGGATGTTACGGTAAATGAAAATGCGCGAGCATAATGGTGTAATGTACGGTGCTTTTTTAAAATGTGATGGGGAGTGGGGTAAAAACTAAATGGGCTATCCTTAAGAAACATTTTGAAAACTACATTAAAAATATGTTGTTGTTTAAATGATAAAAAAGATGGAGAAGATACTTAGACACTTAAAATCAGTAGTAAAACAAAACCATATAAAAATATAGGATAAAAAAACGCAAAATAGTAATAAGGCATATATCATATAATAGTGCATTTATAAATGTCTCTTGTCCATTCCTTAGAATCAAAACAATTTAAAACATGTAAAAACCATATGTACATGTAAATTATCTAAATCTTGATCAAATGTGAATGTTTGAAATGAAATAAGGTTTTCAATCCGTATATGATGGAAAAACGAGACTTTCACTGTTTGACAACACACACATTGAAAAATAAAGAGCAAATTACACAACATTGAAAGCATAAACAACACGAGTCCCTTTTCATCAAAACTAGGGGTCAACTCAGGTGTTCCGGAACTGGTAGCACTCTTGACGTTACTCTTTGTAGTGGACATTCGGTGATGAGTCGTTTTTATTGATCATCTTGATGTTATCACAATCGTGGAAAATGAAAGGATTGTGGCAAGTATAGATGTAACATGCATTATCATTGTGACTCAGATGGTACTTAACGGTCAAACAAATCCTCATGGCGTCCTGAAAACGTTCAAATGTTTTCATTTGGGATCTTTAGTTAAATCGTCTTGCAAGCAGCATCCATGTATTAACGGAATCCCTAAAATATTGTATGAACTGCAAAATGCAATTCGAAAGAAGTAATATCAGCAAAGCTTTGTCTTAGTTTTGTTCATTTTCACATTCTGGCGGCCATTTTGAAATTTTCCGCCATTTTGAAAAAAAAAGAAAAGTATAAACTAACGTTATAACTTACTAGAAACGAGGGAATACATTTTATATGTTTTTGAAAGATTTGGTTTGAACATTATTTGCTTTAAATTATACATGGTTGTGTGTACTGATTGGCAGACATCTTGAAAACGGCCGCCATATTGGACTTTTCAGAGTGGGTCCATAGCTTAAATTGACTACCAAATATATATCTACAATCGTGCAAAGTTTCATGCTTCTATCATCAAACCCACAATTCTTCTAAAAATATGTACGAATCAGCTGGACTAATAAAATAACTCTGCTACATATTTAATATGTCAAAAGAAGAAGAAAAACAATATATGCAGAGGAAATATTTTGGACATTGTTAACATGTTACTAAATTCAGTTTCAAGAGGAACTTGCGAAAAAAATTATCCCTAAATTGAATGAAATATAATTCTATATACTTAAAAACAAGTGTTTCCCCCTTAACTCATTATAGCTTTGAAATCGTGAAACCTACCAAAAATTTGATTTGAAAAAGCAATTGGGTTTATGTACAAGAAATTAAAAAAAAATCGAGGTCAAACTTCTTCTTTTTTTATTATTTGGCATTTTATATCTAAGCTTCGCTCACCGAAAATTTTGTAAACTCAAAATCTGTAGCTGGAAATTGTATTCAGGCGGAAACCCGGTTGATATTAAACCAAAGAAATGGAACTCTTTGTTAGAGAAGGTAAAAAAGGCCAAGTTGGTAAATTTGAATTGTTTACATCTGTTTCTATGGACTTTAAAATTTGAATGAAAGTGCCTAATTTAGGATTTTATGCATCTTATGTATGTGTTTTTACTTAAATTATGGTATGGAGCTTCGAGATATTTGTAAACTTTTAAATTATAGACAAATTTTCGGAAAACAGTCGATTGTGGCAGGTGCAAATACTTGCGGATATTTTTTGTGCATAAGAATCAATTCCGCCGAAAAAAATTCCAAAGAAAGATAATCGATAGATCTTTTTAAAGCACTAATTTGCATCTCTGCCCCCCGGCGACAGTTTTTTTGGGACAAATCCCCAAAATGGGCAATACTTTCATCGAAAAGAGAAAGTCGAGTACACCTTTTTATGTTTAGGCGTGTTTGAGTTGACTATTCTGTCTTGGAAACGTACAAAAGAAAATATTTGATACATCATCTTGCTTCAGATTCTATTATTTTTATATATTAAGGCTCTAGGTTGATATAATAGCATTAAAAATTCACAGTACTGAAAAATGAAATTATGGGTCAAGTGAAATACTTTTCTAATGAGCCATAAAAACAGGGTATGTGTGTTCGAATAACAATTTTTTACTAAAAGTACTTGACGACAGACTTTTCAAGTGGATCTTAAAAATGCATAACTTCAAAAAAACTTTATTTTGTGTGTGTGTTATCTAAGGTAATTAGTCTTCAACCTCTGAAAATATTTAGTCTGCCCTTCTACCAAATATTTTTGAACTTTCGAAAATTCCCCCTGACAACCGATAAGACAATAGTTTTGAATTGACCAAATGCATAGAAGTACATTACATGATGCTCAATAACTAGTAGATATACATATGTCCTTTTAAATACAACTGGCATATAAGGATCGTACTGATGCTATGTGGATAAATTTATCGGTTTTCAAGAGCTAAATTGACAGCGCGTCATCACTTCAATGGCTTCCATTTTTACGATTACAAAAATTAGGTGGCGTAATGGGGAGATAATTTTGATGAAATAGAATCCTGACTGTATTGTGACCTTAATTGAACATGAAAACAAGGAAAACGCATCCAATCTAAATAAAAATGCCGTGCACTACCATTTAAAAAAATGTTTTGGTATTTTTTTCAAGAAAAAATACAAACAGATTCGATTATATTCATTGCCAATCCTTATATATACGAAATAATTATGATGACGACGACTACAACACATAGATAACCGCAACAATTTACAACTGTATACAAACATATATTTTAAACCTGTCCTTGAATTATTTCGTCAAAATATGCAATCCATCATTAAAGTTTCTGTCAAAATATATGTTGCGTATCATGTGCATACATTAATCTATTAGTCATGTCGTTTGCAAATTTGTTTAGTAGTTATGTTTGTGTCATAGTTTTATGTGTTCAAGTTATTATTTTAGTGGACTATTTTAAATACATGTAGCTGATCTTAAATCTATAAAAAAAAAAATTGTTTAAATAAAACTTATTGGATCGAGACAATTCAGAGCCTAACATAATGAATATAGATACTGCTTGTCTTTTGTTGGATCGCGACCATATGGTGACCCCTTAGGCTATATATGTATGTTTTTTTTTATTGTGCTGTTTTATTGCCATCTCATTGTCATTTAAAAAAAAAATCAGTTATTCATTTCAAATGAACCGACCATCTTTGACTTTGAAGTTCTTTGTTAATTAAAAAAAAATAACTAGAAAGAACCGTCACGACCAGGCTTTGGGACTTGACCGGTAATGCTTACATTCATCTGTGTCCAACAGTATGTTAAATGTTCCTAGTGAAAGGAGGATTATACAAACCATCCATTCTGATAGGGAAAATAATTGCTTTTATGAAAACCCAGGAGTAAAAAAAATGGACAAAAAAGGGGAATGGAGACAAAAAAGACATAGGGCGGAAGGGGTGAGAGAATTGATAGAAGAAACAGGAAAAGGGAAAACAATCCTCCCACCTTCCCCTTATTTAAATTATTCACAAGAGTGATAGGAACACGAAATTCTCTGAAGAAAACATTGATATATGGCGTTCAATCCATATTTTAAAAATGACATCGAATGTTTACTATTGCTAAGATCTATAGTCAGTGTTTGCAGGAAATACTCTTCTGCTGAACACGATAACCGAGACATGTTGACAGACCAAATTCAGTTGTGTATATCACAGATCTAATAAAATAACAGACATGATTCTTCTTTAGCAAAAAGGTTGTATCCTGGGACTAGTACGGACATTCTTTTAATAGAAAACAAAGGATATGGGTATCCATCCATGACACAAAATCAGTACATGCACAGCTAAAAACACACACACAAAAAAGAAAGGAACAGCGCTTATATTTGTACTTCATCTCAAAGTTGTAAAATAATTTGGATAGATTTTGAAAGAAGTAATACCACCAAATCAGCTTGGTCACACTTTGTTCACATTTTGGACACATTTTACATTAAGGCAATCAAGTGAAATAATGATGTCATATTAGAATGTTAACTAAATTTTCCGTTCAACTCAGTATTTTCTGTTATATTTTAAGCGAAGTCTTGTGATGATGTAGCTATAATAGGAGCTGGTATTGCTGGAACATACGCTGGATGGAGATTAAGAAAACTAAATAAGCGAATTACTGTGTACGAATACTCAAACAGAGTAGGAGGAAGATGTTACACGATGAGATTTCCAGATATTCCGGACATTAATGTTGAGCTCGGTGCTATGCGATTCACTGCTACCTGTAAGTTGAAAGAGATGTCACGGTGCTTTCTGAAGAATAAGTCAAAAAGATCATATCCTTTTCTTCAAATTAAAACTATTATTCTAAATTGCAGTCTCTTTATTCGAAAAGCACAATTTATATTTTCTTGAACACTTTCTTTTTGATAACTTAAATATTTCATTCAGTTATAACGTATGAATAATTATAATTTTTAACAAGCTGAATGAGCTTTATGTAAAATTAGCACGGAAACTAAGAAATAACTACACTTGCAAAGTTGTGTTAAATATACCCCTAGACTGCACTCCAGAATACAGAATGTTGTGTGCATAAGGAATGACAATTCGGACATAAAGAGACACAACTTTTATTTTATTGTTCATTGCAATTATTGAGAAAGTTTCATAGGACGGACGAACGGGCGGACGGATAGACATAAACTAATTTATCTTCTCTATCTTAAGCGGGTATGAAAAGAAAAATAACTGATGAGGATAGAATGTTGTATTATTTTCAATACTAAAATTCTGTTATTAAATAATGTATGGTTACAATTATGATTGAAATTGATTTGTTCAGAAGTAAATTGAATGTCCCTCACATGAGTATTATGTGTATTTTCAGCACATAAGCTACTGTATGATACCATACGAGAGCTAGGACTTCCGGTACAAAAATTCGTTTTAGGTGGTGGAGCATCAGAAGATACTACTGTACACGTACGTGGAGTCCATCTACGGTACAAAGATTTAGGGGGTACTGGTACTCCTTACAATCTATATCCAAACGAACGGAAACCAGTTAGTCAACTTAAATGGTACATTGTACATCATTGCTTACGTTTGTTAGATTTGTAGCTACAAGATGTGTAAACCACAAGTTACACTGTGGTTGTTTCAATATTTAAAACCATTCAATTTTTTCACGGTCAATCTGACCGATTATATCTAACGAAATGTTGTAAGGAGCGATTTACAGAATGTGAATCATAATTTTGGCAATCAATATAAAACAGATAGATTGTACGAAATTCCGGGATGTTATCACAAGTGTTAAAAAGGTTATATAGACATGGTTTGGTACCATTAAAACGTTTAATCCCGCTGCAAATGTTTGCACCTGTCCTAAGTCAGGAATCTGATTACAGTAGTTGTCGTCTGTTTATGTAGTTCATACGTGTTTCTCGTTTCTCGTTTTTATGTAGATTAGACCGTTGGTTTTTCCGTTTGAATGGTTTTACACTAGTAATTTTTTGGGGCCCTTTATAGCTTGCTGGTCGGTGTGAGCCAATGCTCCGTGTTGAAGGCCGTACCTTGACCTATAATGGTTTACTTTTATAAATTGTAACTTGGATGGAGAGTTGTCTCATTGGCACTCATACCACATCTTCCTATATCTATGATATACAATATTGCATTGACGAGAAATGGTAACATACTATACATATATAAAAACCCAAGGTAACAAACATTTACATTTGAAGCAGGGAAAAAAGCACACAAAGAAATGAGACTACATCTACTTTTCTTCGTCCCTTGAAAACCATCAGACGATGCCATCAGCTTACATGATAACACATAATTTTATCTACATGATCATGTTCTCTTCGCATAATGTCGACATATTATTCATTTTCACAAAATTTCCAGATTGTTTTAAAAATGACTGAAAAATAAAAATGGTGACAGATTGTTTTACTAAAAAAAAGAATAATAATTTTCCTTTCATATGCGTTCGCATTTTGATACATGTTTTCAATAACTCTAAAAACCTTCTCTTTGATATATTATTTTTGTTACTTTTTCCATATTCCTCTTCTCAGTGCAGTACCAAAAGAACTTTGAACTCAACAATCTACAGTTCAACGTTTAACCACAAAAAAAAATGAAATTAAAGTAAATTTTAAAAAAATATTATCAATCGTTGGATTTTGGTATAAGGTTAATATGATAAGCATAGTTTTAAAATTATTTATGTATAATTGTAAGCAAAAAATCTCATAAAAAAACACCAGGCTTATAATTTTGTACGCAAGATGCGCGTTTCGTCTACAAAAAAAACTGTTCAGTGATGCTCGAACCAAACAAGATAAAAGGCCAAATAAAGTACGTGTAAATGTTTTGCTAACGCAAACATTGGAGGTTATTCCTCTTTATGGTGACCCCGGCTAAAACTTCGTTTGTTTTTAAAGATTACATTTAGTTTACCACTAGTCCAAATCGCTAAGAATCCAAGCAAGATAATACTAAAACTAGAGGCTCTAAAGAGCCTGTGTCGCTCACCTTGGTCTATGTGAATATTAAACAAAGGACGCAGATGGATTCATGACAAAATTGTGTTTTGGTGATGGTGATGTGTTTGTACATCTTAATTTACTGAACATTTTTCCTGCTTACAATTATCTCTATCTATAATTAACTTGGCCCAGTAGTTTCAGAGGAGAAGATTTTTGTAAAAGATTACTAAGATTTACGAAAAAATAGTTAAAAATTGACTATAAAGGGCAATAATTCCTAAAGGGGTCAACTGACAATTTCGGTCATGTTGACTTATTTGTAGATCTTACTTTGCCGACATTTATTGTTTTTTTACAGTTTATCTCTATCTATAATAATATTCAAGATAATAACCAAAAACAGCAAAATTACCTTAAAATTACCAATTCAGGGGCAGCAACCCAACAACGGGTTGTCCGATTCATCTGAAAATTTCAGGGCAGATAGATCTTGACCTGATAAACAATTTTACTTCATGTCAGATTTGCTTTAAATGCTTTGGTTTTTGAGTTAAAAGCCAAAAACTGAATTTTACCCCCCATGTTCTATTTTTAGCCGTGGCGGCCATCTTGGTTGGTTGTCCAGGTCACGCCACACATTTTTAAAACTAGATAAGCAAATGATGATTGTGGCCAAGTTTGGTTTAATTTGGCCACGTAGTTTCAGAGGAGAAGATTTTTGTAAAAGATTACTAAGATTTACGAAAAATTGTTAAAAATTGACTATAAAGGGCAATAACTCCTAAAGGGGTCAACTGACCATTTCAGTCATGTTGACTTATTTGTTAATCTTACTTTGCTGAACATTATTGCTGTTTACAGTTTATCTCTATCTATAATAATATTCAAGATAATAACCAAAAACAGCAAAATTTCCTTAAAATTACCAATTCAGGGGCAGCAACCCAACAACAGGTTGTTCGATTCATCTGAAAATTTCAGGGCAGATAGATCTTGACCTGATAAACAATTTCACTTCATGTCAGATTTGCTCTAAATGCTTTGGTTTTTGAGTTATAAGCCAAAAACTGCATTTTACCCCTATGTTTTATTTTTAGCTGTGGCGGCCATCTTGGTTGGTTGGCCGGGTCACGCCACACATTTTTTAAACTAGATACCCCAATAATGATTGTGGCCAAGTTTGGTTTAATTTGGCCCAGTTGTTTCAGAGAAGAAGATTTTTGTAAAAGATTACTAAGATTTACGAAAAATGGTTAAAAATTGACTATAAAGGGCAATTACTCCTAAAGGGGTCAACTGACCATTTCGGTTATATTGACTTATTTGTAAATCTTACTTTGCTGAACATTATTGCTGTTTACAGTTTATCTCTATCTATAATAATATTCAAGATAATAACCAAAAACAGCAAAATTTCCTTAAAATTACCAATTCAGGGGCAGCAACCCAATAACGGGTTGTCCGATTCATCTGAAAATTTCAGGGCAGATAGATCTTGACCTGATGAACAATTTTACCCCATGTCAGATTTGCTCTTAATGCTTTGGTTTTTGAGTTATAAGCCAAAAACTGCATTTTACCCCTATGTTCTATTTTTAGCAATGGCGACCATCTTGGTAGGTTGGCGGGGTCATCGGACACATTTTTTAAACTAGATACTTGAATGATGATTGTGTTTAAGTTTGGGTGCATTTGGCCCAGTAGTTTCAGAGGAGAAGATTTTTGTAAAAGTTTACGGACGACGGACGACGGACGACGGACGCAGACGACGGACGCAGGACGACGGACGACGGACGCAAAGTGATGAGAAAAGCTCACTTGACCTTTCAGGTCAGGTGAGCTAAAAAACAGTCATTATCTTTTAAAATATCTATATATGATCTGGTCATTTTTCCGGCTGCTAACCGATTCTTTTATTAGTTATTGGACTGTTGACAATGTTTTGAATATTAAATGGTATATCGTTCTGGTTAACCTCTTCGTTATCGACAGTCGAAGAGGTGTTAGCTTGAAAAGAGTAAATCAAGCATCTCTGAATCAAAATAAGAATTATATGTTCCACAAAAAGGGGCTACGACTTGCAGGAGGATTTTGTCTTAACTAAAATCATGTATAAAATATCGCGAGTCAAAAGGCTACATCAATTCACTCAAAAATGTACCAACAAATGTTGGTTTGTGCAACACAAGGACAGAAACCATAACACACCCACGGTGTGTTTTCACGCCGTTTGTATCAAAGGACACTATTTCTTCCTTCAAAACTGACATCACGTTTCATTATACTCATTTTATAAAACTTTGATGATAGAAAAAGTGGGTATTTGTTTAAACAAAATCTGTTGTCATTTAATTTCAGGGAAATGTTTAGGAATTATACCAACGTACTGACGACCCCTGTCCCTGAAGATGCTAAACCATTTCAAATTAAAGATGTTGATGGACTAGAAATGTACAAGCAAAGGTAGTATCTAATGTTGTTTTTCTTCATATCAATTAATCAAAATTAATGAGTTTTTGATGGTGTATAAAACAAAAAGTCTTGAATAGAATAGTTCAAAAGTGTAAAGATCAAAGAAATTTAAGCATGCATTTTTGTGAATTGAAAATTGTAGATAAAAAACAAAATCATTAATCTAAATCAAAGAATATGTGGGATATAAGTCAATGAAATAGCAACCGAACAACACAACCAACTAAGAGACATATGTAAAAGAGGTCGGCAAGTCTCCAACAGTCATCAATTGTATAATATATATGACGTTAAATATTTTTTTTTTATTTTCAATAATGTTGGTAATAGATATATAATATAGTCACAAATTTTGAGGAGTTGGGACAATTAAGAGTCTGACAAATTGTAAGACACCGATTTTTTTGTTAAAAACTGTGTGTTGCGTTTTGATGTCTGTTGACGCATTATGCACATCCCCTTTAACCTCCGTGTAGCAAAATTAGATCTACAATGAAAAAGAATAGGGATAAGAAGTAACTTCTTCTTCACCATCTTGCCAAAAGATCTTGACTATTCTTATTTTAATTTTCAAGACAATCATTTGTTGGCGGATGTAAATTGTGATGGCGACCACCTTTACTGGTAAATTGAATCATCGACATTTGAATAAAAAAACTTTAAGACAAGAATTTTGTCCAAAAAGGCTCTGTCATTGTAGAGAAAATATAATACCTTTTCTTATCGTCAGTTAGAACGACACATGTTGTGTGCTAAAGGAAATATCATTTATTTTTAGAATTCTAAAATATATACAATTCGTCAGTGAAAATAACTAGGATAACGGGTCTGAGCACCTAAAGGACAATCGAACACACATGTATAATAAATATTATTAAAACGCATTTCACTTCTCTTTTTTGTAGTATCAATTCGTTGTATCATAAATTCCTTAGTTCAGAAGCACAGAATTATATCAGAGACACAGCTTCTTTCTTAGATTTAGGTGTAAGTGCATCGGCAGAGGTTATGACATCTCCTCCGTCTCAAGAAGAGGATGAAGTTTCAACAGTGACAACAGGATTTGGTTCTATACCTGAAAAGCTACTTGAAACGTTCCTTCGGGCGAGTCGAAGGTGAGTCAAAATATGAGGGAGATGATAGAAAGGACAATAAAAAACTTTTAGTCAACTTAAAACCAACGACACCATGGCAAAACATAAGAACAACGAAGAGAGAAAAAACTGTCAGCAAATCGCTACACATAAAACTAAAAAATGAACCAAAAACCTGTATTTAACTATGGTGCTTCTGAAGGGAAAACAGATCCTGCTTCACTCATGACACCCGTCCAAATCTTTTATGTAGGAGTAAAGCATAACTTGCAGCTTATTTACATATATGTACTGCATCCCACATGTCTACACAGTCATTTATTTTTTTAAATAAACAAGATATGAGCTGTGTCGGATAGAAATGCAAATCAATATCAATACATCTGTTAACCTATTTTGGGGTTGAACAAATCTCTAATCAGAGTCTGACGTGAGTTTAACTGTTTGAAAATTGAGTTGATATAAGAACCTTACAAAACAGACCAAAATCCATCTCTTATTTCGTATTTGAATGTCCCAAAATCAATCAAAAGTCTTATACATGTACATGTATACGTGCACTTGCATAAGGTCGGTTTCTATCCGACGCAGCTCATATCTTAATAACTAAATAAGAGATCTAATAGACTAAATAAGATATCGTATTTAATTTATAAGATATCTCAATTAGTTAATACTATATCTTATTTAGATGATAAAATATCTTTATAAGATATCTTGAAAATGGAATCAATATAAAAACGGCTTGCCATTCATAATTCTCAATCAGTTTAGAATTAGTTTTTTGAGGTCTGAATGTCTGAATATTTTCATTCCAATGATTGTGTGGTTGTACAATAAATATCTTTGGTAGACTATCTTCATATAATTTTTTTTATGGAAGTCTTTACGAATTGACTCGTTGGTGATACTTCTTGAACGATTTAAAACAAAAATACTTAACTTGATGGTATGTATCTCTTCTTCGCACATTATTATTTCACACATATTTATTTATCCATTTAGCTGTAAATAAACATTGCGTTTTTAAAATAATAACTGGGGGCCTCGGTGGCCGAGTGGTCTAAAAATTTAACTTCTGGATCACTAGCTTTTCAACACTGAGGTAGTGAGTTCAAACCCCGCACGTGGCAGGTGTGCTCGGATCCAATTTTAATTGGTAAACTTAAAGATTGTCAATTTCCTGCCGAAGGTCGCTGGTTATCTCCGATTATTCCGGCTTTCTCAACCAATAAAAACTTACCGTCATGAAATAGCAAATAGTGCTGAAAGTGGCCTTTAACATCAATCAATTAATAAAACAAATGTAAAATAAAACATTGCATGAATTCGGTACACAATATGACTGAGCATGCTTACTGATAACTACTATGCAGCGACCAAGCCTAAAACATGAGCGAGTACGGAGATCCAGTTTTAATTAGATTGAGGAAACTAATAACTTTGCATCGAGATAAGAAGCAAAAAGACAAACAATAGTCAAACAAGACATACGCAGAAAACTGAACATTGCACAAAACGATTTCATTTTAAAATTCAATCCAGAAATTAGCTACTTATTTGTTATATATTTTGACAACAGGCACAATATCAAGCTAAATCACCATTTGAAAGCAATAAAGAAAGTGGGAAATGGTTATTACAATTTGTACTTTGAACCCACGATTACCAAAAATGGACGAACTAGCATTATAAAGGTAATTGATTTCTAAAATAAGATATATATCAAATATTATTTAGATGGATATGGGATAGTGGTAACAACTATATAACCAAGGGTTTACCCACCGTTACATGAGTAACACGAAGGGTGTCACAAGTAGAGCACGATCTGCTTACCCTTCCGGAACACCTGAAATCACCCCAGTTTTTAGTGGGGTTCGTGTTACTCAATCTTTAGTTTTTTATGTTGTATTTTGTGTACTATTGTTTGTCTTTTCGTCGTTTGTTTGGTTTTTTGACATGGCATTGTCGTTTTATTTTCTATTATGAGTATGAATATCCCTTTGGTATCTTTCGCCCCTCTTTTATAAATGTACGAGACAATCATTACTGGCAGAATATATTAGATGAGTGCGTTCTTTGTGCTTTTAGATTACTGTATATAAATGTATTTATTCCTTAAACTTTTTGCTTTCTTTCATTCCATTGATATTTTGTACAAATAGAAAATAAACAAACTGCAATTCAATAACTTTCCTTTTTAACAGATATCATTATGAACATAAATGGTCTGTCTTTGTCATTTTATATGATTAATTGCACTGAATTTGATTAACTGGCCAAATTTGTAAATCCCTATCTTTACTACATTGGAAAGTAATAAATATAAAAATAATGAGATGAGATATGATTGTCAATGAGACATCTATCCATCAATTTCCAAATGATGTAGATGTAAGTCATCGTACACTTTCAACAATATGCAAAACCCAAATCTAATCACGAGAGCTCTGCTTGGGGGATGATATTAGTTGAGGGTTGTTTCGATGTATCATACTGAAAATGTCGCATCGTATAAAACTTTATTTTATAAACCTAAAAAGGATTGTTTTTTTTCACGTGACTTGACGTAATACAGGTAAGGGGTTTGATAAAGGCTTTCAAACCGTGACTGATATCCACACGGATGGATGACACAGAATGATTGCAATTGATTGATTATACATAAAATATTCTTGTATTTACTACAAAGTATATAATAAATATATGTTTTGTTTTTTAGAAAAAGTCTTTAAGAAAGAAGTGTGCAAAAAAGGTTATCCTTGCAGTCAATAGATTATCACTTGAAAAGCTTAACTGGAAGGGTTTGTATCAACCTCATATCAGAGAATACATAACTAAAGCAGTAAAAGATGTCAGCGCTGGAAAATTCTTTCTCGCTTACAATTTTCCTTGGTGGAGGAGATCCCCGGTTTACTCAGATTATGCTATATCAGATACCCCATTAAAGCAAACTTACGATTTCGGAACATCAAAAGCTAATCCTACAAAGTCCATACTACTACCCATGTACAATGATGGTGATATACCGTACTGGAACGAACTAATTGAAAGGGAACATGGTAATATAAATAACAGTGATGCTGTCTTTTCCGTTGGAAAAGAAATAGTCAAAGTTGCAGAGAGATATTTGTCTGCAATATATCGACTGCCACTCACAGACATACCACCTCCAATAAATGGAATTATAAGTTATTGGCAGAATTATCCGTATGGTGGAGCGTGGCAACTATGGATGCCAGGTTATATATGGCCAGATGTTGAAAGACAGATGACAAAGCCGTCGAAAAAGGATGATGTATTTGTTGCTGTAAATGCATTCAGTTCTCGTTCATTGTCATATGACTCAAACTCAGCATTGCAAGTAGTGGAGCTCGTTATGCCATATTTTGGTTTAAAAAGTAAAGAGTAAAACTTTGTGGGCTGTAACTTTATTTCTAAAGTCCATGTGTGCCCTTTCCATTTCCCCCTTTGCATTTCAAAAAATAAAACCTGTCTAATATGGATGTGTCTTGACCAGTCCATATTCACAAGATATTTGTTTTGTATTCATGTTAGCATTTTGACAAATGTAGGTTGAAGAGTTTTTATCCAGAAAATATCATATATGCTCTAATAAGTTTAAATTTTTGTTTATAATTTTTGCAACTTTATTTGTGAACATTTTCTAATTGTTGTTCTTAAATACCTTTTTATTTATGTGCATGAATATTTATGTATCGATATACTATATTGTAATTAGATAATTATTCAAGCATTTTATATTTTATGGAAGCAGAACCCAACATACAAACTTAGTGCAGGTTATTTCATAAACAATAATATAACGCAGCAATATAATACCTATCAGGCCGTTACGTTTCTCGTTTTACATTTTGTCATGTCGGTGTATTTCTATTGCTGACTATTCGGTATTTTGTTTTTTCATTGTCGAAGGCCGCACGGCGAGCTATTTAAGAATAAGAAGATGTGGTATGATTGGCAATGCGACAACTCTCTACCAGAGACTAAAGTTAACAACTATAGGTCACCCTACGCCCTTCAACCATGAACAAACCCCATACCACATAGTCAGCTATAAATGGCCCCGAAATAACAATGGTAACACAATTCAAACGAGAAAACTAACGGCCAGATTAATACACAAAACAATGAACGAAAAGCAAATATATATACAACAACAAACGACAACCACTGAATTACAAGCTCCTGACTTGGGACAGGCACATACATAATGTTGAAGGGTAAAACATGTCTGCGAGAGCTCAATCCTTCCCCTTACCTGGGACATTGGTGTAAGAGCACAAAATAAGAACTATAGAAATCAGTTGAAAAGGGCTAAACTCATCAGATCGATACAAAGCAGAAAAACATGTAACAAAAAACACAGACCGGACGTGTCAGGGTATATGTACATCCATACGACAAAAAAACCCCACTAAGTACAGATCTGGGAGTACTCACAGTCACTGACAACTAGTTCAAAGCCAATTACAACAAATAAAAAATCATGAATCTTAGACTAAAGTATCAATCAGTGCACATCCAATATCCAATGGATTTAGTATAATGAAGTCATTAACAGTAAGAGAAAAACATGACCTTGTACAATGCCAAAATACGGATATCGACAGATTATAGAACAGTGAATGTGAATATTCATATGTATATAACAATAATATTAGTAGTTAATTTAATCAACGACAAAGAAGGGGGCGTTGAGACAAATGTAACTTAGTTTCAAAATGACTGACATCGAGTTCTGTCAGTAGGCATAAGACTTCAAATTTTGATAATATACTAATTGTACAAAACAGTTGGTATAGATAACATGTTCAGCGAAGCTCCGTCTATAAGAATTGGAGAAACTGTAAGCATTCAACTTTATTTTATTATGTTTTGGCAGTAAATTATGGGAAAATAGAGAACTTAGGTTAGATGGTTTAATCTCTATATACTCTTTACTGTGTGATACAGGACAAATCATTTCCATTGCCTATATCATCGTCGCCTCCACAGTTTTTCCATAAGATAATTAAAAGAATAAGACAGAACCACGAAAGTTACCTTTTGAATTAAATTAGCGTATAGACACAATAAAATGCGATATTTTTTTTAATTACAGGAAAATTCTAACGAGAATAGTAAGCAACCATCAATACAAAGACCAAGACACTATATTAAAGCATTACCATAATTAAAATGCACGTGTCGAGCTCTCATGGGGCACTTTGACCTTTTTGTGGTAAAGAAGAGCAGCTAAGAGATTGAATACCCCACCCCATTCTTTTGTTTTGAAATGCATAAAAACATACCCCATCATATACTTTTTGACAAAAAATCTATATGATAGCTCTCGCTATTTCATAGGAAAATTAATAGATTTGACAAATATCTGATGCATTTCCAACTGTAGTTTTAATCGCACGAAAAAGAAAAAGAATGCCATCTGATGATTAGTTTCAGATACTTATAATTTAACCAGCAACCAGGTCATCAATTTCATCTTAATTTCTCGACCTTGTCACATATCATGAAGCTTGAAAAAAAAATCTATTCCAGCGGCTCATCCCTACACACCATTCATTACACAGAAAATTAGCTAGAAAACTAAGAACAAATTACAAAACGATTTAGACAATAAATTAGCTTTATTCTTGAAAGAAGAAAAATACGGATCACATCATGTCCTGGTCGAACTTTCTGTACGTAAGACTTATATAAGATGCACACGTGATCGAGAAAAATAAACTTGATCAGAATAATAATATTCATAAACATTGTTGGTCTTCGCTTAGTTACACAGTACATATGTTCCAGAATTACGTATGACTTATTAGATTCACACGTCATCGATCAATAATACTGAATAATAATGTTAATAAAAATTCTTGTTTTTCGCTGAATTACATATGATGAATTGCTTCAGAAATGCAATATGTCTGCATGGAAAACTGTTTGTATATTTGTCTTTATACATGTTGTGGTGATAGAGACTAAAGTTAAACGACGTCTTTATTCCTGTAAGTTCATTTCTGATTTTACTTCAGTTTTCATTTTAAATTGAAACACAACTATTCAAAAAATGTTTTATATGCAATGAGAAAATCATATAAGAACAAACTGTTCCTTTCATCTTAAAATTATGTGTTTGTATAATATCTCAGTAAATAAAATGCATCGTCGATCGCAGCATAATGATAACAACGAGCCTGTAATGTAGTGGTTGTGGTTGGTTGTAGTCTATAATATTTGTGTTTTTGTTTATTTTTTGGCACACAAATCGACGATTGGTTTTCTCGTTCGAATTGTTTTACATATTGTCACGTTGGTGCCTTTTATAGCTTTATATATACGGTATGGATTTACCTCACTGTTGAAGGCTTTACAGTTCTTTATAGTTGCTTAAATCAACGTCATTTAGTCTCTAGTTGATAGTTGACTCATTCTCAATCATGCAACATCTTGTTCTTTTAATAAGCTTATTGACGTGAGAACGTTGAAAACGTCAAAATAAAAGAAAGATTTACATGCAGAGGAAATAGTTTAGATATTGTTAACATATTACCAAATTCTCTTTCAGGAAAACATTAACTCTAATTTGGATGAAAAATAATTCTATTTAATTTAAAACAAGTTTTACTCCTTTGGCTCAATTTAGCTTTGAAACCTGCCAAAAATTTGATTTGAAAAAGTAATCGGGTTTATGTACAAGAAATTGAAAAAAAATCGAACTCAACCATCTTTTTTTTTTAATTCTTTTGGTGTTGTCCATTATTCGGCATTTTATATCTAAACTTTGCTCGCTGAAAATTTTGAAAACTCAAAATCTGTGGTTGGAAATTGTATTGTGGCCTTAATTGAACATAAAAACAGAGAAAATGCACCCAATCTAAATAAAAATGCCTTGCACCAACATTGAAAAAAAATATTTTGGTACTTTTTTCAAGAAAAGATACAAACAGATTTGATTATATTCATTGCCAATCCTTAGACCTACGAAATGATTATGATGATGACGACTACAATACCTAGATACAATGTAACCGCAACAATTTCCAGTTGTATACAAACATATATTTAAAACCTGTACTTGAATTATTTGGTCAAAATATGCAATTTATCATTGAAGTGTCTCTCAAAATATATGTTGCGTATTATGTGCATACATTAATTTCGTTTGTAAATTTGTTTAGTAGTTATGTTTGTGTCATAGTTTCATGTGTTTCAGTTGTAAATTTATTGGACTATCTTAAATACATGTATTGTATTGTCTAGAAAGACTTGTTACAGTGTGAATTGTTTGATAGTGAACTAAAACTTGAAATGAAACATGAGCAATCGAAATTTCCTTTGGGGTAGATTTTGTATTACTCAAAATTTAGTTGCATATCAAATTGTGTACTGATTTTGTGATGCAATGAGCATTTAGCAGAAGAGAAACTGTTTTGAAGAGACAAGTCGATGATGAAAAATACACGTACAAACAATTTGATCGTAAATCTATAAAACAATCTTAAATGAAAGTTATTGGATCGAGACGATTCAGTGCCTAACATAATGTATATAGATACTGCTTGTCTTTAATTTTGTTGGATCACGACCATATGTTGACCACAAGACTATATATGTATATTTATTTGTGCTGATTTATTGCTATCTCATTGTCATTTAACAAAAAAAGATCAGTTAATTCATTTCATTGGAACAGACCATCTTTAACGTTTACGTTTTTGCTAATTAGAAAAACAACTAGAAAGAACTGTCACGACCAGGCTTCGGAACTTGATAGGTAATACTTACATTAATCTGAAAACAGTGTGTTAAATGTTCCTTTATGCGTGTTTCTAGTGAAAAGAGGATTATACAAGACAAACATACTGATAGGGAAAGTAATTTCTTTTATGAAAACCCAAGAGTAAAATAAATGGACAAAAAGGGGGGATAGAGAAAAAAGGGCACAGGGCGAGAGGGGTGAGAGAAGTGCACGTGATAGACGAAACAGGAAAAGGTAAAAAAAAATCCTCCCGCCTTCCCCTTATTTATAGTATTTAAATCATAGAGAGAACACTAAACTCTCGGAAGAAATCAATAATTTATGGGGTTCAATCCATATTATAATAAAAGGCATGCAATGTTTACCATTGGTAAGATCCATAGTCAGTGTTTGCAATATACTCGTCTGCTGAACAACGATAACCAGAACATGTTGACAGACCAAATCAATCTTGCATGGCACGGTTTTAATAAAATAACAGACACTATTCTTCTTTAGTATTAAAGAAGGTTGTATCCTGTGACTAGTTTTTTCACATTTTGGACACATTTGACATTGAGGCAATCAAGTGAAATAATGATGTCATATTAAAATGTTTACTAACATTTTCGTTCAACTTTATTTTCTGTTATATTTAAGCGAAGTCTTGTGATGATGTAGCTATAATAGGAGCTGGTATTGCTGGAACATACGCTGGATGGAGATTAAGAAAACTACATAAGCAAATTACTGTGTACGAATACTCAAATAGAGTAGGTGGGAGATGTTACACGACAAAATTTCCAGATATTCCGGACATTAATGTTGAGCTCGGTGCTATGAGGTTCAATGCTAAATGTAAGCTGAAAGAAATGAAAGAGTGCTTTTTGAACAACAAAAATTAAGCCAATAGATTATATTATTTAAACTAGAATTATCATTCTTAATTTCCGTTTCTTTATATTCGAATAGCACAATATTTTTTTTTTCTTGGACACTTTCTTTTCTATAACTTAAATATTTCATTTCAGTTATAACGTATGAATATTTATAACTTTTGAACACTTAGTGAGCTTCATTTAAAAAATAGTACGGAAACTACTAAATTACTACACTTGCAGAATTGAGGAAAATATGTAGACCCTTATACTACACTTTAGAATACAGAATATTATGTGTATAAGCAATGATAATTCAGACATAGAGATACATTACTTTTTTATTTTTCCTTTCAGTTACTGAGAAAGTTTCATATGATG